AGAGCAGAAAGAGCTGCACCTGCAGGAGCACAGGCAGGAGGGCAGGTACGGCAGAAGGTCTTCCAAGGTTCTCCCACCTCCTGTTCCGAACTCCACCGGTGCCTCTGCAACTTGCTGACAAAGGCCCTTTCTCTGCCGAGGCGCTCAGCAGCCGGCGATGGGCTTACCCGGGGCCATCTCCATCCACCCCGGCAACCAGCAAAACTGCATCTGACTCCGGAGCCTCTTTGCAGCCGCAAACCGCTGGCACTTGCCAGGGCTCCCATGGGCTGTGCACAGCCCCAGGAAGGGAAGAGCTTCGTCACGGGGCTGCCTCCACGTCCGGAGCACAGAACTGGGAGACCCGGGCCGGATTAGCCGAGGAGATGCTCACAGGGATGCCCACAGGGACACCCAGGGAGCAGATGGCAGCGCGGTACGTCCGCTGTGGGCAAGACCCTGACACCCGTCCTCGCCCTCCCCTCGCCCAGCGCTGCGTGGCACGAGCACGGCCGTGGAGCAGGAGCCCCGCGCGGGCGGGGTGACATTTGTATTCCGGGCGCAGTGACCTGTTGTAAGTTAAATAATGTAATCAGTGCTTAGCATGGAGAGCGAATTTATCTTGTCAAAAAGCATTACCCTGAAGGATATAGGCGGCCAACAAAGCAGCATCCGAAGTCTTGCAGAGGAGCCGGCCGTGGTAGAGATCCCTCTTGATCTGCAGGAAGACTAAATACCTGAGGACAGAGGAGAGAGTCCACTTATTAACAAAGTGACATCACCTCCGCCGGCAATTTAGATGAGGAACACCTGCCCCCAGACGCTCGCACGGACGTTTCTCCTGGAGCAGCCCCTTTGCAAGACATCGCTCCCGCTCGGGGGACGAGCGCTGATTCCCCCAGCCCGTCCCCCACGACGCCTCACCCTGCTTTGGGCACCGGTGCCCCGACACGACTGCAGCCGCCGCAGCCCATCACCGGCTCACCAGGGGCTGTGGTGCATGGGGCCGATGCTCCAAGGGGCTCTCGTGGTGCTGAGCCCACCAGTGGCTGTTGCACTTCCCAGTCCCGCACCCTCAGCTTCCCCATAACGGGATCTTCCCCTTCCCCAGCTTTCTGTCTCTGCCCCGGTCCCTGCGGGCACAGCCACTGCCCTGCTCCGTGCTCGCCCGGCTCTATCTCCACGCACCAAAGCCCAG